GCTTTGAAGTGGTTGCATGCAGACCCTATGCGCATCATTGCTCCGATTGACGAGATGCTAAATCAATTGGTTTTGGCCTTCGGGGGAGGATTTTCGAAGTCGGAACTACGACAGAAGTTCGAGGATCGGGTTTGGAAACCAGATGAGGTGTTCGCCACATATTTTAGCGAAAAAAGCATATTGGCACAGGACATCAACATTGATGTAGAGGAGTTAATGGAGGGTATTATTCGAGGCATACCTTGCGAAAACTTGCGCACTCAAGCTTGTATGCATTGCTTTACCAATCCGGCTCAAATTTTACGTGCGTTTGCAGCTATAAAGTTGCCAATTAAACGGGTACGAAACCATGTAGTGAAACAAACAGCACAGGAAGCACAGGCGGACAAACAACAACGTTGCTACAATTGCAATGTTAAGGGCCATTGGGCCAAAGATTGTTTAAAGCCCAAACGGGAGGCAGGATCTTGCTATGCGTGCGGCTCAAAGGATCATTTAATAGCAGGATGTCCAAATAAAAAGTATGATATGGAAAACAAATATGTAAGATACTTAAGAATTCATTTTAGTAACTCATTTAACAAATCAATAATTGCAGAATGCCTTATAGACTCTGGCAGCCCTATTTCATTTTTAAAGGAAAAGTTTGTGCCATTAAAAGTAAAGCGTATGCCAGATGCAAATTCGTATGTAGGTTTAAATGAAAGTAAATTGAAAAATTTTGGAAAAATTTTATGTTATATGAAGAAAAAGTTAATAAATGTTTATTTTAATGTTATAATTGTGGCAAATGAGTCTATGAGGTATGACGCTGTGCTTGGTAGAGATTTTATGGATTCTTTTGGTTTAAATATTGATTTAAGAACATTGAAAATTGTGAACGGGCATAAAGTTGATCACCAGAATAATGGTAAAAATGATATCATAGCTACAAGCTACAAAGAAAAACAAAAAAAAGTGGACGATGAAGATATCAAACACGAGCAAAATGAAACTATATTGTTAAATGATAAAATCGTTAATAAGGAAATAGTCAGTAATGAAACTGTTAGTGATGAATTAGTTAGTGAGAAAACTGTTAGTCCGGAAACGCTTGGTGATAAAGTTGGTAGTGATGAGATAGTTAGAAATAAAATAATTAGTGGTGAAATAGTTAGAAATGAAGTGATTGGGATCGAAACTGTTAGTGATGAGATAGTTAGTTATGGAGAGCTTAAGCTCGAACCTGATAGTGAAGAAGTTGTTAGTGATGAAATTATCTATAATCAAACCGGGATTGAAAAAGTGATTATAGAAGATATAGGAAACAGTGCAGTTAAAATTAATAATCATGTTAATGAAGCGCCAGTGAATAGCGAAATCATGGGAGTGTTAGAAGAGAATTTTGAGAAGGATATCTTAACAATAAGTTGGGAAGATTCTAACAAAAGAGAAAATATATATATTTTAAGTGAAGATATTGATTACAGCACAAAGTGTGAATTTGAAAATTTATTTGAAAATACTTATGTAAAAGCGAAAAGGCCAAACCAGCCAAAATTAAGACATGAGTTAAGCATAAGATTAGAAAACGACAAAGTATTTAATTGTACACCTAGGCGGTTATCTTATATGGAAAAAGAAAAGTTGCAAGAATTATTAGACGACTATTTAAAAGATGGAATCATTAGGCCAAGTTGTTCAGAGTATGCATCACCTATAGTACTAGTGAAGAAAAAAACTGGAGACATGAGGTTATGTATTGATTTTAGAAGACTGAACAAAATTATATGTAGAGACAACTACCCGCTACCATTGATCGACGATTTATTAGACAGACTATGCGGAAAAACAGTATTTTCAAAGTTGGATCTAAAAAACGGGTATTTTCATGTTTTTGTTAATGAGCAATCTATTAAATACACTTCATTTGTTACCCCTTTAGGACAATATGAATTTCTTAGGATGCCCATGGGTTTAAAAACTGCGCCACATGTATTTCAAAGATTTGTTAATAACATATTTTGTGATATGATAAGAGATAATAAGGTAATTGTTTACATGGATGATATTATGATAGCAAGTACAAACATAAAGGAACACATGGAGACCTTAAAGGAAGTGTTTATAAGACTGGTGCAAAACAAATTAGAGTTGAAATTAGATAAGTGTGAATTTTTTAAAAGCAGCGTTAAATATTTAGGATTTGTGGTGGATAGTAAAGGCGTTATGGCTGATGAAAAAGGGTTAGAAGCGGTTAAATCCTTTCCAATACCAAACAAAATTCAGGGAGTACAAAGTTTCCTAGGGTTATGCTCCTACTTCAGGAGGTTCATTTTTAACTTTTCTATATTAGCTAAACCCTTATATGATTTATTGAAAAAAGATAAGAAATTCAAGTTTGGAGAAGAGGAGTTTAAGTGTTTTAATATGTTAAAAGATAAATTGTTAGAGGCTCCAGTACTATCAATATATAATTACAAAGAAGAAATAGAACTACATTGTGATGCCAGCGCAGTGGGATTTGGGGCTGTTTTATTTCAAAAAAAAGAAGATAGGAAATTACACCCGATTTTTTATTTTTCTAAAAGAACAACCGAAGTAGAGTCTAAATATCATAGTTTTGATTTAAGATAATGACAGATTGCAACTCTTTAACTTTAACGCTTAACAAAATAGATTTAAATCCGAGAATTGCTAGATGGGCGTTAGAACTACAAAATTACGATTTTGAGTTAGTGCATAGATCGGGCAAGCAAATGCAACATGTGGATGCGTTAAGCAGATGTTATGAGGACATTTTAGTTATTGAATCCAATAGTTTTGAGGACAATTCAGTTATTTGCCAAAGCAAAGATGACAAACTGGTAGATATTAGAAAGATGTTAGAAAAAGAAGAGCACAAGCTATTCGAAATGAGAAATGGGGTCATTTACAGAAAAACAAATGATGGCAGATTAGTTTTTTATGTACCAAAGGATATGGAAGAACATGTACTTTACAAATATCATGATGAGTTGGGACATGCTGGGAGAGATAAGATGATCGATGCCATTGGAAAGAGTTACTGGTTCCCATATATTAAGGAAAAAGCAATAAAGCATATAGGGAATGGTTTAAAATGCATTGCCTTCGCCCCCAAGACGGGTAAGAGTGAAGGACTATTACATAGCATACCGAAAGGAAACAAACCGTGGGAGATGATCCATATAGACCATTATGGACCAATTAATGCAGGAAGGGCTAATAAATATATATTGGCGGTGGTTGACGGATTTTCAAAATTTGTTAGACTATATACAGCAAAGACAACAAGTACGAAAGAAGCGATTAAGGCATTAAAAGATTATTTCAGAGCGTATAGTAGACCTAAGTTCATTGTATCGGACAGAGGGAGTTGTTTTACAGCAAAAGAGTTTGATGAATTTTTAAAAAATGAGGGAGTAACGTATATTAAAATAGCAACGGGTTGTCCGCAAGCAAATGGTCAGGTGGAAAGGTTGAATAGAGACTTGGGTCCGATGATGGCAAAAATGGCGGAGCCAGAAAATGGTTTACATTGGGATGTTATTATAGAAAATGTTGAATATGCAATAAACAACACACAACACAAAAGCATAAAGAAATTTCCAAGCGAAATGTTATTCGGATTACAACAGAAAGGAAAAGTTGTTGATGAATTAAAGGAAAAATTAGAAGAGTTTACACAGGTGAACACGTGTGATAAAAGAAATTTAGAAAATATAAGAAAGAGTGGAGAAATATATCAAAAAGAAGCTCAAATCAGAAATGAAGAGCGGATTAATAAAAAGAAGAAAGTATCAGTAGAATATAAAATAGGTGACTATGTCATGGTAAAAAATTTTGATAGCACACCAGGAGTTTCAAAAAAGTTAATACCAAGATATAAAGGGCCTTATAGTATAGAAAAGATTTTAAAAAATGATAGATACTTGTTAAAGGATGTAGAAGGCTTTCAATTATCTCACAACCCGTACGTTGGTATCTGGAATAGCCAAAACTTTAAGCATTGGATGCGAAAATAGGCAATAAGCATTAGTTATAAAGATAGATACACATATAAAAAACAGAGATCGGGAGCTCTCTTTGTCAGGATGGCCGAGTTGTAATAGGATAAGAGCATCATTGGTAACCCTAGCCAGGGTATTATAGTGTCACTATCTATGTTAATTATAACAGTACGATAAGTATATATCGATAATGAAGCAAATGTAATATCGATAAAGAAAAGCGGCTGCAGAGAAGAAGTGGAAGGCAGTCTCTCTACAGTACTAGCAGTAAGAAGACGTGTTGTTAAAAATAAAAAGGCCACCCGAACATAAGTTAAATCAATAAAGAAAATCATACTATTACAATAGGTAGGTGCTAAAGGCAGTTCCTAGTATAACCGAAAGATTTTACTTTTGGTGTTGAACATTTCAAGCTAAAACCTCGGCCCTAGACGAAAACAAATTTTACTTCCCTATTTGTCTGTAAGCCATCGCCAAGGGATTTGGCAAGCGAATTACTTTGTTTATATCGGGTTTAGCTGCTGGGATTGTGTCAGCTCAGAAGTTATCCCCAGTTTCTTTCTGGAGAGTAAACCACTTTTTTTATATTCGTTTTAGCTGCACAGACTTTGTGAGCTCGATATATCTTACAGACTGATTTGACAAATATATGAATATTACTAGCTGGACCTCGTCTTTACCGCATTGCCGGATGTCGTCCAGCATAATGCTGAGCTTACGGCCCGTGCAAGTCTCGTATTACACTTCGCGGCCACAGAGTCAGTGGCTAGAGGCAGCTTGTTCCACACTATTACATTATATTAGAGTGAAATTTAGTTGCATACTGGCTTCTTTTGTTAGCTTGTATGAATGGACATTTACGTATAAGTGTTGTATTTTCATGTGCACCAAGCGCAGAATAAGTGCAGTCTCCGCGCTGCACTCTGTAGATAGTAATAGATCTTTGAAGTCAGGTAACTTTTCCTTTTAGCATCAAAAAATCGGAAGCTGTCGAAGTTCCAAATTTCAGCTTCTCCTGATCAATATTAGTCTCCCAGTTGATATTTCTCCCGTTCAATAAACGTTTAAAGTAGCTTTTAACCAAATTCAAAATAGTTTTAATTAGCTTGGCCCCTGTAAAGACCTTTATAAAAACCTATTCAAGATGGATGCGGATTTTGATTTTGCTACACCGCCGCCAGAGGAGCGTATAATACGTTCGCATACTCTGAACGCGGAACAGGAAAAGGATCTCACTGAGGCGTTTTCATTGTTTGATACCGCCAGAGCCGGTGTGATACCGATGAAACAGCTGAAGGATATCCTAAGGGCTGTGGCACACACTCCGCCCGAACATGAGTTGCAGGACTATTATAATGAATACGATCCCGAAGGTGCCGATGAGCTATATCTGAGCGATTTTCTGCACATAATGTCGATGCGATACAAGGATCAAACGCCCGAGGACGAGGTCATACTGGCATTCAAGGTCTTCGACAAGGATGACAATGGCTGGATACACGAGTCAGAGTTCCGCCATATAATGAGCACAATGGGCGATTATATGAACGAAGATGAAATTGATCAGATAATACTAGATGCCAATTCGAATACCGAGGGCAATATCGTTTATAGAGACTTTGTGGCCATGATGAGCGAGCGTTAGAGTCGAGCAGGCGGCGCCAAACTAACTAAAACTATATTCAAATTCTGAATACATTCAGTTTATCAATAATAAATCATTTGGACAAAACGAGCTTTACTAAAAATTGTTATACCTTACGATAAGATCCGAAAATGAATCAACAACCGGACCTAGGTGAGGAGCAAATCAACGAGTACAAGGAGGCTTTTGCTCTCTTCGATAAAAGCGGTTCGGGCATGATTAGCACTCGGGAGCTGGGCAATCTGATGCGTTCACTGGGCCAGAGTCCCACCGAAGCGGAGCTCAGGGATTTGGTCAATGAGGTTGATACCGTTGGCAATGGAGAGATTGATTTTGCCGCGTTTTGCACCCTGATGAGCAAACAATCGCACGAGAACGATTCCGACGAGGAGCTGCGCGAGGCTTTTAAGATCTTTGACAAGGATGAGGATGGTTTCATATCCCCGGCCGAGTTGCGCTTTGTTATGATCAATCTGGGCGAGAAGCTGACCGACGAGGAGATCGATGATATGATACGTGAAGCAGACTTTGATGGTGATGGCAAAATCAACTATGAAGAGTTTGTTTATATGATAACACAAAAGTAACATATTTCATAATTATTATTTTTCCAATTCCCAATTATGCACTAGTTCAAATTAAAGCTGTAACCAACTGAAATTATTGTAGAGTTTGTGACCTATTTGATGGCTCGTCAATTCAAGCTCGAAGTTTTCTAAGCCACAAGCTCGTCGTCATTATTAAATAAAACTTAATTTCGCTCCGCCCAGGTTGTCTTCGGGCTTGGCTTCTTTTTAGTTCTGGCTCATATTTGCGTTAATTTAATTTTTTGGTGTTTGTGGTCAAAACGATCTTTTGGGGCGGCACCTTTGTGGCATGTGAGCAATTTTCCTGTAGTTTAAATTCAATTTACTTATGCATTTTAATTAAATACTTCGTTGGCCTAGACTTTGCATTAAGGGGGCAGCTGCAGCTCGTGTGGGAGGGAATATACGCAGGGAGACATATCGTGTCGGGACTGCCAGCATTTTTACATATTGCTTAACAAAATTTGAGCTTTGCTTAATTAAAAGTTCAGAAAACATTGAAAACTCAAATCGATGCACTTCAAGTATAAATGATAAAAAAAGTAGATTTCAATTTCAGATGCAACATCAATAAGCACTTTTGCAAGGGCATAAATATCATATGCGCTCTCACACACACGCGCAGACACAGACATGGAGGGTGACAGAAAGGGTGGGAAGGGGCTCGGAGTGGGTTACATAGACGCTGCAACTCGTAAGTGTGGACTATATCCCGGCAGACACAGGCTCTAGGTTTCAGCATGACGTCAGATGCCATTTGTGGGTCCAACTACTGCCATAAGAAATTGAATTTGTGTGTGTGTGTGAGTGTGTGTATGTGTTAGTGAGAGAGTGTGTTGTGAATTTGTTGCTGTTGCTGCATTTGGCAGTGCAGCCACATGATAAAGGCTGACATCTCTGGCATGGGGTCATTATATTTTGACATTAATGAGAAGTAAAGGAAATGAGCTAAAATGTGACAGCAAAAATACAAGATATTATTTTTAATATCTTTCGCAATATTTTACTTAAAACAGATTGACAGTGACTCGTAGAGTTAAAACTGTAGACGGGTTTTGCCCATTTTTCTGATCTCGTAAATAAAATTTGAAATTATATCAAATATTGAATGTATTCTACCTGTAGCATTTTTATTAAATCGAATTAAAAATTACGAAGGCGCGTCTGAAAATTAAATGTAAAAAATAAATATAATATAATAAATCCAAAATATTAAATATGGAAAATAATGAACAAAATAATAATTGATAGGAGGCAAAAAGTATGCCGATCAAAAATTTTTAAAATAAAATCACATTACAGTTTTTGCATAATTTAAGTAGAATGCAAACAAATATATTTAAATCTCAATTGTAGATTTAAATTAGTTTATGAAAATATACAATTTTTTCTCATTTCTATAGTTGAATTATTTGAACTGAATATTTTCATGTCTTTTTTAAAGAGTATTCCGAGTGCGCCTCTTCTCCTAGTACATTTTTGGCACATTCGCCAAAAATGTTCATGCACATCGATTTAATGTAGAATTTTTTGTGGTTTTTTACCACAACCAGTGCACACACACCGACGCCCACTCGGAGAGTGTCATTTGGGACACTTCTGCACATGTACTTGGCTACGCAAAAAGGCACATGCAAGTGACACGGACAAGGACGAGGACGAGGGAGAGTATGAATTCGAGTGCGAGTGTGAGCACAAGGACGAGCCGAATCGCTCCGTAAATGTGCAAATTCCACATGGCAGCAACAAGAGTTGCAAGTAAATGAGTTTTGGGCGCAAGGACATGTGCTGGAATGGGGGAAGGAGCAGCAGTCAAGTCCTGGCAGTTGCGGTTGTCGAGTGTCCATTTGCAGTAACTCAACTTCACTTTAATATTTTTAGCCATTCAAGAAACATATGATAATTGGTATTAAAAACTGCAAAGCCTGTAAAACCACAACTAGTTGAGGCCATGCTTCGAAATATTCTTCAAGTTAATCCCTTGAGCTTTTTTACGACTACCAAATACCCGAAGTGCCGTCGTTCAATCACATGCCTAAGCCCAGTTTTCGGCCAGCGATTACCCTTTTTGGATTAACAGATCAACGCACAAAAGCAGCTCACAAAACCATCGTCTGGGGACTTGCCAAGCTAACAACTTAGCCATTTCGATAAGGCCGATAAGCTGATCTGGGCCAAAGGACGCGCAGTAACAGTTGAAGATAACCAAAACCGCAGACGCTTTGATGACCCAATTAATTTTACAACCGAAAAAAAAACAACTTTTTGAGGCAAACGCATTTATTTGCATTTGCCACACGCACACTTTAGTGTTGTAAAACGTAACCAGATAACCCTCGAGGCATTTCAGAAATTGCCAATACATGGCCACATTGGCATGATGAGATATTTGCAGAAACATGGGGAATAGACAAACATTTTTAACGGCGACAATTCGCTAAAGAAAAATCCGTTTGATGTTCCATTCCTTATTCAGTATCCAAATAGAGACCATATTGAGCAGTTTGATATTCCATTCCTTATTCAGTATCTTGAGTATTCTTTCTGAATCTTCTTAAAAAGAAAAACTTTTGTAAACATAGGCCTCCCAGATACATTCTACTTGTAAGAAAAAACCCCAAGAGATTCAGTTGCTCTTGAAGATATTGCGTGAAATTGCGCGGAAAATTTATGCGCTGTTCCTGCTTCTCCTTGCCCCTTCCCACGCTTCATAGCCACCTACTTTTCCTTTTACTTTGTGCGTCCGCCTACTTTTACGGCGCAATTCATTTTTTATTTTTTACTCTGAAAATTGACTTAGCAAACTACTTGAAATGTAAAAATGTTCGAGCGGCAACTGGAAAGTAAAACTTGCAGCAACTTTGAAGGCACACGTAATTATGCGCATTAAACAGCTGACCCAGGCACTCAACCTGTTCCTCCTACTGCAACTGCTACTTCAGTTTATCGCAATCGCAGCAACGGCAGCGTTTATACCTCTTCGGGAGCTGAGCCCCAAGCGCTTGCGCAATCGCCACACGCATCAGAAACGCCTCAGCGGCAGTCTGGACCAGATTGAGGATATGGGCGATGTGTCTGGTGGCAGTTCCTGTAATACAGCGGGCAGCGGTTGCAACGAAGCTGGCGGCGACTTAAACAGCATGAAATGCGGCGCCAATAGCGATAGCTTTATGGGCCACCCCAGTCCCAAGCAGACCGCCACGAACATAGCCCAAAAGGCCGCGCACGAGGCGGAGCAGGCCTACGGCACACAGCAGTCCGCCGCGGCGGAGGTGTCGCACATGGTTAAGAAACAGCTGGCGGATAGGGCATATGCCGCTGCCAAGGCGGCCGAAGCGGCGCTTTCGGGCAAGCAACAGATTGTCGAGCAGCTGGAGGCGGAGATAAGCGATGCTGAGTCGGTCATGCAGCAGGCGACAGACTCAATTGCCAGCTCTCAGAATAATCTGCATGCAGCTCACAATTCGGCCAAAAAGGCGCATCAGCTATTTCTGGCCATGGAGGCTATCATGAAGCTTGCCAAGGAAAATCTGTGCCAAGCCAAAAACGCGGCCACCGGTGCCCAGCAGGAGTTCGACGATAAGGCGCAGCTCATGGAAACGGCGCAGTGTCGCATCGACACGCTCAAGAAGCGGCTTTGCGAGTCCCGCAGAGATCTGCAAAATATCAAAAAGTCTGCCTACAAAGCGGTCTGTGCCGCTGCCGAGGCACGCAAAAAGGCCTCCAGAGAACGGCGCACGGCAGTCCGAAGGGGTCGCAGAAAACGACGAATACAACACGAAGAGGCAGTTGCATCTCAGTGAAAGCATTTCATTTTATTTCTATTTTCTAATGACACGCGTCTTAAATAAAACAATAATTACCTTAAAGTATTAGTTATAAATTGATATCTTGTCACCTTAAATTTCTAAACTGGACGCTTTGATCCATGGAAACCCGGAAGCTGTATATGAACCTTTATCAAGGGTGCAAAAAGGTTGAAAATTAAACCGGTTCGCACCCGCAGGTTAAATAATGCTATTTCAGTTTATCAAGGCTAAGCCGTACATAAATCAATTTCCGATTTGATTAGCAAAGCCCTTGTGCAACAATTATCAATATTCTGACAAATTTACGAACCGAATCGAATGTTAATTAAATTAATTCCAAACTGTTCACTGTTGATATCCATGTTCACTTTAATAAAGATCCACCTCTATATTATACAGTGTGAAAATGCTTCGACATTTAGCTACATGCAGTACCTGTGTCTGCTTCCATCCTCATTTCAACACACAACATCCATGGTCACATTTTTTTTAAAATGCACAAACAATTGAACAACTTTGAGTATTATATTTGTATTCATTTCTTTTCCAATCACGCTTATTTAACACTCACTCTCATTCCACATTCGTTTAGCTGTTCTCCATGGTCACATTATGATGCGAAGTCCCGGCGTGAATACACAATTTTCCAGCCCACAATATTGTAATTTAATATTAAATGCGATTCTTATACATCGAATAATCCTGTGCAAACACAAAAGTGTGTTTTGCTCTTGGCTCTTGGCAACCGAACGCCGGAAAGAAATCCTTTGAGAGTTTTTAGCGCCAAACAATGTTGGCGCAGCCAGAAGGATATGTGGGCGTTGGTAGAAAGGACACAAAAGGACAATAAAACAATTTGACCAAAGCTATTTCGTTAGAAGTTTGGACAGACTTTCCTGTCAGCTTAGGGCCCCTTGTTTGCCGGTAATGCGATTGGGACTGGCCGTGCCAGCAAAAAGTTTCTCTTTTTCGCACACGTTTTCAATAATGATTAGTTTTTGAATGGGTTCAGTTTAGGGCTGCGTCTGTTTTTTTATTTATAATGAGCCGAACAAGTCCAAAAAATATTTATATATAAAAGTTGACAACAAATAAATTTTTAAAGTGCGCCATTAATTGGGTCATCACGTGCCATGTCTTGAATAAGTTGTTCACAGAAAAAGTTATCGACAGGCACTTAAAGGACAGGAATTGCCGGCAGCCCGTGGGTCATTTAAGCCGCTGATCTGTAAATCCCCCAAGCAGCGTAAATGGACAAGCCAAAAGGGTTTAGATTTGGCCATGCTTCTCACATTTTGAACAGTTGATTGAGCGGCAACTTTTTGTTTTGCTCGGCTCGGTTTTGGTGTCTTAACGCTTGGCACATTAAGCCTCATGCGGCCCAAATCACTGACTACATGGCACAAAAAATGTGTGCGTGTGCGTGTGTGTATAACAGATACGTATATGTATGTGTATCTGCTGACACTTTGATGCTAACACAAGCTGCCAAGTGCTGATCGCTCAATTGCCAACAGCATCAGCAGCGGCAGCGAAAACTACTAAAAGTCGGGCTGGGCTAAAATGAGTCAGTGTAAATGTGTGTGTGTGTGTCTGTGCGTTGGGGGTTTCTTTGGGGCTTGACTGCCTTCCCATTAAGTCAACAGAAACCGCAACGCCCCATGTCAACGCCCCCAGCTCGACGACAATACTCGAATCTCAACCATTTGACCAAAATGTATTCATTTCAGCCATGGCAACCACTCACAGTGTATGTGTGTATGTGTTTGTGAGTGCGTGTGTGTTGGTGTTTGGTTTCGTATCCAATTTGCGTATTTTCAGAAACAAATCAAAACAAATGAAATCAATTCGATGGAGCAAATCTAATTTCATGCGTATTTTCTCTCTTTTGGCTGGACAATAAAAATTTCGGGACTCTTCGTTGTGCCCACCCGCAGCCAAATATGAAATCTCAAACCGTAACAGTAAATCTATTGTTGTTGGACGAAAATTGCGGCAAAAAGCAAAATATATCCTTATTTACGAGTTGCTAGCTAAAATTCAAACAAACTGGCGCCAATTGTTTGCGCCATTTGGGCCACGCCCACAGTCAACTCATAAAATTCGAGAGAAAGAATAACATAACACACACATGTGTGTATGTGGATTGGATACAGGATAACATATTGCTGAGTTTTTTGCGCTACTAAAAAAGAACGACATAAGACGTGGTTCGTGCGTGTCAATGTTATGCAGATAAGCACGAAAATAGCTAAAAGTGGCACGAATTAAGCACGACTTACGGCGATTTGGTCGAATAACGTCGAAATGTTTCAACGCGAATGTTTTTTCTTATATAAAAAAAATTCTGTATTCATTTTTCATAATGTAAATAAAATTCAAAAATATATTTTTACTTGTTCAGAACACGAAAAGGTTTTTAGGTGTTGTCCAAAGTTCGTGTTACTGCTCGAAAGAATATTTGTTGTGCAGTAAAAGACTTAAGACTTGGAATATATACTCGTGCATTGAGATTAGGCAACCCCAACTTAAGAGTTAGAGCGGTTTTATTTAAATTAGGACTATTGTTGAGCTCCTCTAAAGAATATTTTGCCTGCGCACAGAGATATCTATTAATTTATTTAAAAGGTAGTTTTTTTCAAATGTTAGCACGCGCTCATCTCTAATCTGAATGCCAACTGTCGCACACTTTCGTTGAGTGATGGCAGCAAAGCTCAGCCAGCTGTAAGGGTATACACCGCATATATCGATATCGAGTATACGCACCGTATTTATAAATGAACTCTCCTTGGGGCTTATGTCATTAACATTTGACCTGAACAGGTGGCAACAGGGAACACCTCCATATGGCAGAAATGTTGCTGATGCTTGCGCATTAATTTCATGTCATTAAACATTTGGCCCGGCTATATTATTTACAAAACACAATTCCCGCGGCTGTTGCTGCGGTTCGCCCAGCATATCGCCAACGGGCAGCCGTTTATTTGCCAATACACGGCATAGGTGCAAAAAGGCAGAGGGGCGGCATAGGTCAGGGTGCGGTTCTGTTCGGCTTGTCAAATTGAAATTTATGCACAACTGGCAAACGTCGAGCGTTGAATTCTGTTTGTTTAGTTTAATGGCGGTTATTGCATGACCGCCAGATTAATTATTAGTGTTGTTATTGTTGATTCTGTTCTTGATATTGTTAATGATAGCGAAGCTATGTTACCATTGTGCTCTTGACGCTGTAATATTAGCCTGATTTAAGGTTGAGATAGAGTACATATTGGCAACTTGTTAATTATTAACTAATCATTATATTAGATAGACAAAAGAAATGCTTCCAGGAGAGTTCGTGTCTATTAAATATTGATTAGGCAACTTAGCAATAATTTTTCAACATCTTCTTTATGTTCACCTCCATAGAGGTGCCTCAGCCCCATCAGCTCCTGGCCGCAAAGGTAGACCTGCGCGCAATCTTGCCCAGATTGTTAAAAACAATCATTGTGCCTCGTTAGCTCCCCCAACTCCTTTATTACCTACAGCCCCATCAGCGCCTACTTTAACGGTAGTTGCCCCTCGTAGGCAAGTCTTTGTGTCTCGACTTTCGTCGGACACCACTTCTGAGTCATTGGCAGCCTATATTGCTAGCAAATCTTCTGCTAGCGTGTCAATAACTAAATTTAATTTCTCCACCCCTCGTGAAATATCATCATTCAAAATAAATGTTTCACATGATATGTTCCCAATCATTTGTGATCCCAAATTTTGGCCTCCACACATGATTGTTCACGAGTTCAAGCCTAAAAAGCGTAACCAGCCTGTCACCCTTCCAGTCCCTTCAATACAGGGTACCATTTCTGCCCCAAAAAACTAGCTTCATCTTCTGACCAAATCTTTATTCATTATCAGAATGTTAGAGGTCTTATTTCAAAACTTAAATATCTTTTCATGGCCAGCACTTCCTTCAATTCGGATATAATAGCATTTTCAGAAACATGGTTGAACTCAACCATATCTGATTTTGAGATTTTATCAAATAACTTTAGTTTGTATCGAAATGATCGGCCGACTCGAGGTGGTGGGGTGTTAATTGCCGTTAAAGCCACTCTCCAGTCTGAACTGGAGTTAACCAGTTAAGGTGTCTTTTCCTACACGGAATGTCTATGTAACATGCTCTTATGTCCCTCCTTCTTCTGATATTCAAGTTTATATGAAACATATTACTTGTATTAAAGAAGTTTCTTCACACGTGCGTGATAGTGACCTATTTATGGTGTTGGGTGATTTTAATTTGCCCAACATCTCTTGGTCATTATTTACTGCCAAAAATTATCTAGTGCCCTCAGCACAGCACGATTTTATAGACTGCATGCTTGATCTTTCGTTGTTTCAAATCAATTCAATTTCTAATCATTTGACTAGAACACTTGACCTTGTATTTGTTAACGACTACCTTATTTCTAATGTGTCTAGGTCCCCCCCTTTATCTCTTCCTGAGGATGTCTATCATCCAACTTTAGAGATTGCAATGCTAAATTGTAATCCTTTCATTTCGTGCTCATCAGCCAATAAGCCCCGCTATTGCTTTCGCAAAGGAAATTATTCTTTGCTGAATCAGCTTATTTATTCAACCGATTGGTCTTTCTTATATGACTCAGTTGATATGAATACAGCTATTAATTTTTTTTACATCACCCTAATCTCCCTCTTAGATGTGTGTATTCCTAAGTCAATTCCTTCGACTACTTTTTCAAAACCACCCTGGTTTACTACCAGATTATCACATCTAAAAAATGTAAAATCCAAATATTTTAAAAAGTTTAAAAAGTCTGGTTCGTGTACAGACTTGGCTAAATATTCCATAGCCAAGTCGAACTTCTTTCTTCTTAATTCTCAATGCTATGAGAATTATCTAACACGTTGTAAAAGACAATTTGCCCGAAATCCGAGACAGTTTTATAATTTTGTAAACTTGAAGCGTAAATCTTCAAGTTTGCCATCTTCTTTTTTTCTTGGCTTGGATAAAGCTAGCAATGACACTGATTCTGCTAACCTCTTTG